CAAACACTTTACTTCCAACTTCACTCACAAGATTCACTCATCTCTCTCTCTCATTTCGTGTGTGTGCCACCATCAAGGGAATTCTTCATACAACTCACAAGAACTTGGTAAGTTTCTTGTAATACTTAAGAGATTTTACACATGTTTATGCTAGGATCATCCCACTTATACACACCATTTCGTGTGTAGCTCCCTAGAGCATCACCATTTTCGAGTGACCCTCAAGATACACAAAGCTAGACTCAACAACTTCTTTCTTCTTCTTCTTCCACCACTCGGAATCTTCAAGGTGAGCTTCATACCCCTATCTTTTCGTGCTTTTCATACCTTTGGGGTGGAATACAAGTCAAATCTCGTTACTCTTTGGAATATTTGCATGCTTCATGGTTATGGGTTGAAAATAAAATAAGTTCTTGAACAAAAAGGTGCTTAACATGTGATAAAATCATAACGTAAAAGTTGATTACTTTTTTGTGTTATAAAGTTTTGTGACCATGATTTTTCACTCAAAAGGGCGGAAATATGGGTGTTGTGCCCAAACATGTTTAACTCTTTGACACATGCATTTTAACTCTTATATTTACACAAATATTGAAGATAAAAGATCTCAAAGTTATTATATGAATTTTGTAAAAATCGTGACTTACTAGAGTCATAACAAAAATGGAATATTTTGTGTTACAAAGCTTTCACACCCATTTCCGTATGCTAAACAAACGACAAAGCTTGATATTTTGCTAAAATTAAGTTATTGGAAAACATAGTCGTAACTATGTTGTCACTATTTTTGATGGCTTAAAAACTTGAGATATTATGCTATTTTCACAATATATGTTATTTGTAGTCATATCCACTAAGGATTATTTATGAAAAGTATTATAAATAATTTTAACCAAAATGATATACAAAACGTAAATTATGACAGAAAAATATGTGTGTCATAATCTGCCTGTCATAAAGCCTTTATAGCATGATTAATTTTCACAAGTAACATCATTTTCATTATTCAATAATGGGAGTTAGAGTTCGCGTAAATCCGTTAAGGCTCTAGTGAGACACCATCTTCGTCGTACCTACCTAGCGTACACTTTAAGTCCTGCTTTATAACCAGAGTCTCCTGGAGGGAGAGCGAGACCGTTGTGTATAGATTTATATGGGATTGACAACCCCACACCTCAGCTGTTCGCTACAGTTAGACCGACAAGTCTAGGGTGACAAAAGTCTACCAATTCCGACGCCTGAAGAACGTTGTTCATGCATAACAGTCATATCAAGCATGGTTAAAAGAACTCACTTAGGGTTTAGCAATACTCACTGTTGTAAAAATCTCGACTAGGTCCCGATTAATCTCCGATTAATCCCTAGGCGCTACCCGACCGATTAGAGGGCGCCTAACGATTAATCCATGCCTACAAAACGAGTGAAGCAGTAGAAAATGATAAAATTTTATCACTTTGAAGAAGTCCTATCTCAATAGAAACCATTTGAAGATTGATTAGTGTTGTATTAATCATAATAACCTATTTTATTATAATATTAGTGATATTTATGAACTTTGTTATGATATTAGTCATATTTAATTTTTGAAAATTCAACGAATTAGCAATTAATGGTCTCTGATTAATCCCCCGATTAATCCTCGTCTAGCCGATTAATCCCTTAACCCCAGTCCACCAACTAGCTAACGTCGAGCGTTTTTTACAACCTTGGCAATACTAATTTGGTTTACGGGAAGCTTACACTTCACAGGTTCTATTAAAATATAAAACTGCATATCATTTTTCAGTACACAGTCACTTACACTTCTGGTCTTAGGGTTAAGACTACCATTTACTTATAAGAAAAATATTGGATTTTCTGGGAACTTACTCTTTACAATTACAAACATAAGAAACAAAGGACATGCATGCATATATTCACAGTTTTGGAACGAGACTTACAAACCATTTTCATAGAAAATATCGGATTTTCTGGAGTTATACAAACTACTACAAACAAGGACGTTACAAACACTTGTCATACAAATGTGCTTATGAACTCACCAACATTCATTGTTGACGATTTTCAAAATGACTTGTATTCTTAGGGAACCAGTAAGCAAGTACCTAAGAACCGGATTAACGACATTTTGGAATTTCATACTTTATGTCACTTTTGTGTAATTGATGAACAAATACAATTTGTAAACAATGTATGTTCGTATCTCTTAATGTATGTTGTTGGTTGCTATGTTTCATTCATATTCAATTGTAATGATACTATACAATGACGTCATCCGCCCCCGAACGTTTCCTCTGTCCTGGTTCGGGGGTGTGACATTATCTTCGTAAAATCAATTTTGATTGAATGTTTCTTGACCAAAATAACTTCTAAGCATTCCTCGGAATCCTTCTTCAGTTCCAACTCCATTTAGGCTCCAAATATGCATATAGCTGCTCCCAAAGTACGACTCCATTCAAACTATCTGAAAACGACAAAAAACGCTAGCAGTATATGAATTCTGATAAAATAAATGATTTGATCATTATTTAAACAAATGACATGCAAATGTAAAAAATACTATTTTAAATGCTAATAAAAACTACCCTAAAAGATGCATAAAATTGCATCTATCAAAGTGCAATCATTTTTCATTACCATGTGGAGTTGGTTAAGGGTCATGATGTTTGTCCAACTGATTCTATCATACTCCAGATGAAATATGGTTTGAAGGTTTGCCTCTTCCCTCTTAGACAGATCAAAACTTGAGATTAAAAAACCTAGCACGCAAGGTTTTTGGGTTTACTTTTCAGGAATTAAGTTTTCTTTATTTTAAAGCAATAATTATATCTGATATCGTTGCAGTGTCTGTGTACAATATTGTAAGTTTAAAAAATATATATAATGATTGGTATTAATTGATTTACGAGTTGCTAACTAACATATCTATGAAATTTAGCAGTACACGTTTATCAAATTCAAGAGGTGGGGGAGAGAGGATGACAGATGCTAATAAACCCATACTAATTACAAATGTTTATTTGTGTTTGTATTTATTAGATACATTTATTCAATTCAATCAATGGTTTATTCAATCTTTAATCTATTCTAATAAATGAAAGTTTTTTTGCCACTTGTCACACTCTCATTTAATTTGCCAAATGTCATTTTTGAATTAATTTTTTTTCCACATGTCATTTTATAAGTTTTTTTTATTTTTTCAAATTCCACATGATATTTTAATGTAATAATTGCAATAAATGTAGTAATAAATGGATATCAATGTCATTAATGAACTTACCTTTTAATTTCAAAATTCTCAAAATTAAAGCTCATTAGTTTTTTTTGTTTATTTATTTAAATTATTTGTCTAAATTTAAAAGACAAAAAACATTTTCATTATAATAATTTATTATTTTTCTTATCTTCTAATAAATTCAAAGTTCTCAAATATTTTGACATTTATATATTTTATTTTTAAATTAACCAATGTAATACATAGGTCTCACAATTAATAATATAAAAACATGAAAACTTATTTGGATGATCTCAACCTCTATATATATATATATATATATATATATATATATATATATATATATATATATATATATATATATATATGATTATTCACGTTCTATAGGAAACATTAAAAACCATACAAGTTTGGTCCCTTATGTATTCGATACATCATAATGTTAAGGATAAGGATAACATATAAACCTCATAACTAAATAATAGTTGTTGTAACTAGTTATTTTAATATAGTTGTACCTATACTAGATTCAATCAAATTAGTTTGTAATTATCATGTACCACAATGAAAAAAAGATAGATTACTTCTATAATATTATGTTTTTAAATGTATTAAAATAAATATATGAGAGGATAATAGCATTTAGGCGTTTGAAATTAAAAATAATGGATGTCCCAAATTAATAGAAGATATATTATTTAATTCAATTATTATACAATATATAAATGATTAATGATATGGAATACTAATAATGATATTGAATACCTAAACTTGGTTCATGTATATTTTTTTTGAAATGGCAAATAATATAAATTTCTCCTCTGCCTGGGATTGAATACCTAAACTTGGTTCATGTATATGGAATACTAATAATGATATTGAATACCTAAACTTGGTTCATGTGAACTACTTTAACGAAAATTATAATAAATTTTAAATAATGAATTTATTATTTATTTATGTAAATATGAAATTATTATTTTTGAAAAACAACTTAATGATACTAATCATTGTTGAAATGACGAAACTTTCTAACGGTATAATTTTCTATGATAACAATAGTAGAATGATTATCGTACTCTCCATCAATATATAGTTAAAGTGTGATCAATCAATAAATACAAAATAATTGTGAAGTACAAGAATAAGAGCAAGGATACCGGAATGGAAACAATTTGGCCCTGATTGCTACTCACCTAGCTAAAACTATTTGCGCAAAAATAACTATCCGACAAAAAGCAATCAGCCAAAATGCTAAAAGGAACTATTTGACACGAAAAGGAAACATATATGCATGGAAACTATTTACCGAAAGGTACTATCTAGAACCGCCGCATCGCGCGGATACCCTACTAGTATTATATATATATATATATATAAAAGACGTACAGAAAGAATAGGTGGACCTTAATTATATCAAAGCTGCACTTAATTCACATTAGTACATATTTTTATTAAACGAATATTTTTATTACGTGGTTATGGAGAAAGTACATTATGTTTAAAAAAAAAGATAGGATTAGGAGCTAAAGGTTGAACTTGGTTACATTTTCTTCGTATACCAACTATCATCCATAGTAAGGACCAAGTGCTAGTTTTTTCCTTTAAAAGAGAGCTAACTATCTAATAGTAAACAGATTTCCCAGTATCGGCTTTCTTTCATTACTTCAATATGCTTCTCCTTTTAGTTGTTTTGTTGGCTTCCATTGTCTTGTTTATTTACCAGAGAAGGTCCTATCATATCATCAATTGGGTCGTTTTTGGCATGACCCCCGATCTCATTCTAAATGCTTACCGTGTTCATGATTTCGTCACAGATCTCCTCAAACTGAGCCATGGTACTTTCATGCTTAAAGGTCCTTGGTTTACCAACATGGATATGCTCCTGACCTCCGACCCAGCCAACGTTCACCACATCTTAAGCAAGAACTTCCCCAACTATCCCAAAGGTCCCGAGTTCCGTAAGATCTTTGATATCCTTGGAGATGGAATCTTCAACGCCGATCATGATTTATGGGAAATCCATAGGAAAACAAGCATGTCTCTACTCAAACACCCCGACTTCAACTCTCACTTGGAAGAAAATATCAAAAACAAGATAGAGAAAGGGCTTCTTCCTCTCCTTGAAATCGTCTCCAATAATCAACAAGAGACGGATATGCAGGAGATATTTCAGAGGTTTACTTTTGACACTATCTGTCTATTGCTTTTAAATTATGATCCTGAAACCCTGTCTCTTCATTTACCATATAATGCATGCGAGAAGGCCTTCACCGAAGCAGAAGAAGCTATTTTGTGGAGGCATTTGTTGCCGGAAAATGTTTGGAAGTTGCAACACAGATTCAACATAGGCAAGGAGAAGAAATTAATCGAAGCTTCTAAGGCTTTTGATGAATTTATATATAAATGTTTGTCAAGGGAAGAAAATGAGCTCACTGATGTTGAAAGAGTAGAGAAGGAGGTCGGGTTGTTAAAATACTTGATCACTAGTTTCCAAGGTCAGACCAGGACTTCAACGAACACAAGAACGTTTTTAAAGGACACCATACTTAATCTGATGATTGCTGGAAGAGACACCACAAGCACAGGTCTTTCTTGGTTTTTCTATCTCCTCGCCCAAAACCCTATCACAGAGAGCAAGATCCGAGAGGAGATTGAGAAGCAAGTGGGAGGTTCAAAATGGAAATATCCTAGTGAAAAAGAGTTGGATGGACTGGTTTATCTCCATGGAGGTTTATGTGAAGCATTAAGGCTCTATCCTCCAGTTGCTTTGGAGCACAAAGCACCATCAAAGGCAGACGTACTCCCAAGTGGGCATGCAGTTAATGAGCATAGTAAGATAATTCTATCATTCTACTCAATGGGAAGAATGGAATGGATATGGGGGGAAGATTGCTTACAGTTTAAACCGGAGAGATGGTTTTCAGAAAAAGGAGGTGTAAAGCACGAACCATCTTACAAATTTACAGCATTTCATGCAGGGCCACGAACGTGCTTGGGTAAGGAAATGGGTTTAATTCAGATGAAAACGGTGGCAAGTGCAATCATTTTTCATTACCGTGTGGAGTTGGTTAAGGGTCATGAGATTTGTCGGCCAGCTGATTCTATTATACTCCAAATGAAATATGGTTTGAAGGTTAGGCTCTTCCCTATTAGACAGATCAAAACTTGAGATTAAGAAACCTAGCACGCAGGGTATTTGGGCATGCTTTTCATGAATTAAGTTTTTCTTTATTTAAAAGCAATAATTAAATGCAAGAATTATTTCCGATGTCGTTACAGTGTTCTTGTATAATATTGTAAGTTTAAAAAATATAGTGATTGGTATTAACTGAATTATGAGTTGATACCAAACATATGTTGAAATTTAGCGGTGCACGTTTATCAAATTCAAGAGGTGGGGGGAGAGAGGATGACAAATGCTAATAAACCCACACTAATTACAAATGTTTAATTATTTGTGTTTGTTTTTAATAGATATATTTCTTCAATTCAATCAGTGGTTAAATCAATCGTTAGTAATATAAAACATGAAAACTTACTTGGATGATCTCAACCTATTTTTATATCTTTCTCTTCTTTCTTAATGATCTCAACCTATTTTTATATCTTTCTCTTCTTTCTGTAATGATGACTTTATATCTAATCTAATGGATAGAATATACTCTTAATTTTTGTTAACATTTAAAGACTATAGGAATGAGATGTCGTACCCTCTCAAAAAAATATATAAATCGTTCACATTTGATACGAAACAATAATGACCACACAAGTTTGGTCCCTTGTGTTTCCATGTTATATATATATATATATATATATATATATATATATATATATATATATATATATATATATATATATAATCTTTCACATTCTATAGGAAACAATAAAGACCACACAAGTTTGGTCTTTTATGTTTTCACATTAGGTAATATATATACATCATAATCAGTCGTTTACCCGTGCAAAGCGGCGGGCGGCAAATAATTTGGCTCGGTGCAGAGATGGAAGAGAGGTGGTGCTGGTGATGACACATAGTTGAACAATTCAAGATCGGGAGATCGAACGTCGCGTTTACTTTACTTGTTAGTTCAACAATTTTTTTGAATGTATAGTTGGTTTATATTTAGTCTTTATACGGTTCTGATCGGTTTAGTTCAAGTTAATGCATGTGAGGAGCCCTCCCCGTGCTCATGGTTCACAATTTTTTTACTATCCGAGTCGAACCGCCCCATCAACACCGCTAATACACATTTGATTCTTGTTTTAATAAAAAGATAGTTATTTTATCGTAAACATTTATGTCAAAGTTAGTGAATTCCAAATTATATAATAAATTTGGTTTCAACCCATATTCCAACAAATGAATGAAAAATATTAAAATAAAGTATATAGAGATAGGTTTATGTGGGAATTAATTATATATGTTGGAATATAGGTAGACGTGTGACGACAAAATGCAAAACATTGCAATATAATTCTTTCTAGAGAAAATTCGGATAATAACCCAAAAAGGAGATTGATTTGAAGAAAATAACCAAGGAAAATCAAATTTTGGAAAATGACCACAGGATCCGCAGAGCACCATCTGCGGAACCATTAAATGCTCTGCGGATCCTCTACAGCTCTGCAGAGTTGCTGTTTTTTGATTTTTTTAATTTTTTTTTTCGTTTTTTCGTTTCTTTTTGCGTTCATTTTCGTTTATTAATATTAATTTTTTTTAAATGTACTAATACCTTATGTGATTATGTAAATAATTTGATAAAAAAAGGTTAAAAATAATGAACTTATGTTTGATATCAGTCCACAGAACTCTTTGGGAATCCACCCTCTGCGGATCCATTAAAGCTCATGCGGATCCAGCTACAGCTCTGCGGAATGTTGGTTTTTTAATTTTTTTAATTTTTTTTCGTTTTTTTTTGCGTTCACTTTCGTTTATTAATATATATATATTTTTTTTAAATACACTTATACCTTATGTGATTATTATGTAAAAAATTTGACAAAAAAATGTTAAAAATAATGAAATGTTTTATGTAATACGTTTGCTACTGATGTACGTTTTTCATGTATTTGTACTGTTTTGTATTTTATGTTCTATGAAATAAAGTAAAAGTTAACTCAACTGGTTTTGTAAATAACCTAATACAAACCAAATACATATAAATAACGTAATACAAACCGGTGCATATAAATAACCTAATTAAATCAGTAGATATTTGAGGCGTATAGCAGTCGGGATGGTTGATGAACCACATTGGAAGGATATTGATCGGGTTAGTATATATATATATATATATATATATATATATATATATATATATATATATATATATATATATATATATATAAGAATCAGTGTACACCTCTGCGGAGCAGTACACACCTCTAAGGATCAGTGTCTGCGGATCTGTACACATCTCTAAGGATCAGTGTACACCTCTGCGGATCAGTGCACACCTCTAAGGATCAGTGTACACCTCTGCGGATCAGTGCACACCTCTAAGGATCAGTGTACACCTCTGCGGATCAGTTATAGAAGTTATAGATGTATTTAAGTGGTTATTTGTGAGTTTGTGAGTTTCAATTACTAGTAGAAGTTGTTTTTTCGTTGTGTTTGTAGAGAGTGATTTGTAAAATGAGTTTTATTATTTTGTGTACGGGAGGGTCGTGGCAGTTAGTTAATGGAGTTGAGGTTTACGTTAGAAATAATGTGAAAAACTATGGTTTAAATCTTCCTCCTAACATTGACCATGAAATGTTATTACAAATGGTTAGAAGTAAGGCGGGTGTGTTAAATAGTCATATATATTTGTCTTTTAAACACCCGGAGTTAGGGTATGTCATGGAGCTTGGAGATGAAACTGATGTATTTCAATTGAGACATGTAATGTCTGAATCAAAGAAGACGGTGCATTTGTATTTAACGGTGGTAGGTGAAGAAGATGAAGAACAAGCAGTGGTTAACAACCAGTTTAATCCAAAAAAAACTAATAGAGGTCGTAGAGAAAGCCAATGTGATGGAAACCGTTCAAGGGGAAGAGGAAATGACACTTTTGTATCAGATAATGATAAAGAACCAAAAGTGGGCATGACTGAATTACAACGTGAAAATTTGTTCGAGTTTGGAGAAGTTCCTAAAATTGATGATCGAAGAGATGTGAGGTAAAATCAAATGAAGGTGGTCGGATGATGAGTACACGCAACGAAAAAACTGCTTTTAATCCATGGTATTGTATTCCTTCTATTCCTGATTGTCCAGAACCTATTCTTGAACCTGGACCATTTCACAGTTTAGGTCTGAATGATAAATTAATTGTCAATCAAACCTATAACACCAAAAAAGAGCTAGCATTTGCTGTTAAATTCAAAGCCGTTAGAGAAAAGTTTCAGATAAAGGTTGAAAAATCTTCAAAATCTCGGTACCAGGTTGTTTGTATACAAGAAAACTGTCATTGTCGTTTATACGCATGTGTCATTAAAGGAACAGAAATGTTTGAAATTAAGACGTTTAATGACGAGCATACATGTTATTCATTGCTTATACACCCAAATCATAGGCAAGCAAATAGCGAAGTTGTGGGAACCATAATACATAACATTATGGGTCAAGGAAGTTTGAGAGTTTGGAAGCCTAATGATATAATTAGAGATATGAATGCTTTGCTACAAATAAATATGAGTTATTCACAAGCGTGGCATGCTAGAGAATTTGCTTTGGGATTGATGATGGGGACCCCCGAAGAAAGTTTCTCCAAACTTCCAATTTATTTTCACAATTTGAAGAAACATAATCCTGGTACTGTGGCGTACATAAAAACTGATTCCGATGATCGTTTTGAGTATTGCTTTTCGCTATTGGATGTGCGGTAATATATTTTTAAATATATTTGTTATTATCTTAAATGTTTTAAACAATTTATATTGTTGATATATTAATGGTTTTTATATTGTTGTTGCAGATACGTGCTTTCAGAGAGTGTTGTAGAAAAGTTATTATTATGGATGGTGCTCATTTGAAGGGAAAGTACAAAGGCACCATCTTGCATGCAGTAGCCATGGATGGCAACAATCAGATCTTGCCTATTGGGTATGGAATTTGCCCAAAAGAGACTACAGATTCTTGGACATGGTTTCTTGAAAAACTACATGAATGCATTGGTGATGTGGAAGGTCTGACAATGGTCACAGATAGAGCACCCGCAATTTCTGTAAGTATTCAAAATGTTTTTCCAAATGCTCAACATGGATTGTGTGGTTTTCATCTAATAGGAAACATAGTCCACACCTTTGGAAAAAACAAAAAAACAGCAATTTGTTTTGGAAGCTGGTAAGAGCTTACAAAACCACTGAGTTTGAATTCTATTGGGGGAGACTTCGTAATATAAGAGATGATGTAGCGACATATCTCAGTCAAATTCCACGTGAGAAATGGACCAGAGCGTATTGCCCTACCACGAGGTATGATTATATGACCTCAAATAGTGCGGAGTCCATGAATGTTGTATCAAATAAGCAAGGAAGTTGCCTATATCACCACTTCTTGAGTTCTTTCGCGCACTTATGCAGAAATGGTTTTACAAACGGCGGTGGCTGTAGGTATGATTATGTTTAATTTTAAATTATATGATAAATGTCAATTATAATAATATATGTTTGTTTTAACAGAAAAAAGTACAACAATACCAACGAAGTGGGCTGAAGATATGGTTAAAAAACTAAAGAGGGGATTCAATGATGGTCGGTATCCGGTGTTGACAATACCACATATCAAGTGCATGACTTCAAAAGCGGCGGCATAGTGAATTTGAGGGAAAAACTTGTTCTTGCAGATATTGGCAACTAACTACTGGTTTGCCATGTGGTCATGTGATAATGGTTTTAACACACTTGAAAAATGATCATTGTGGGCATATGGCTATAGATGCTTATAAAATTGAAACATATCGAAGAACGTACGAGCAGGCCGTATACCCTCTTTCAGAACTTAGTGATTGGGAGGCTCCGGATGACCTTATGGTTGTTAACCCTCCTGTGATGGAAATACGTCAATCCGGTAGACCAAAAACACCAATCGTATTCCATCTCAAGGTGAGGAACCAAAAAAATAAGGTGTACTAGATGCCATAGCACAACTCATAATGCAAGGACGTGTAAGGAAATCGTTCCAAAGAACCAAAGTAAAACTAAAAACGTACCGGGCGTCAGGAGTGGGACGAAAAAGCGACAGAAGAGGAACCGACGCAAGCGACCGAAAAACCAATGGCAGCATGAGCCAGAGAACCAATGGACGCAACATACCGAACAA